AGACGAGACTCACTCTCCGCTGTGTGTCCCCAGTATTGCCTTCTATCATGGTATGCTCCAGCGAGGGGACATCATATCTCGAGCTGTTGTTGGCCCTATCGTCCTCTCTGTGCCTTAGCAGCTCCATGCAGGGATATCATCTTCAGGCCCTGGAGTGCCATTATGGAATCTCTCTCTTTTTCCTTCTTGGTTTGCTTCAGTGTGAGTGTGGCAGGCCAGCTCCTCTCCTCAACCTGTAGGTTTAGTGTTGTCCTTTGTAGCACATACTTTTAGGAAGGGGGTCAGTTTGGTTCTGATCGGAGCTGGCCCTGTAGCCCACTCTGTTCATGAGTTGTTCCATGTGGTTACTTGCGCCACTTAAGAATTCCCAGAATCATGAAAGCTAAAAATAAACATATTCTAAATGCGACCACTCAATGTTATACATGGTCTGCACAGCACATGGTAGCACTGTAATTATAGCTGTGAATGGCAGAAGCAACTCTTTCATGGTAGCACAAACTGCTGTTCTTATAAGAGATGCTACTCTGGGAAGGAGAGTGGAACACATCCTGGCCAACCAAGCCCCGAGGATGATATTCCTGCTTAGAGCAACCAATGCACAGTGAGGTCCATAGGGCCGGCCCCACCACAAACACGACATCCCTCACTGACCCATAGCACTACGGGGTACAACACTGGAGACACAGTGCAGGAATTGTGCCCAATGCTAACCCCACCACACTGGGGCGAAACGCTAAGGGCATGCAATAGAGCAGCAAGGGGAGCAAAACAATGGAATACCAAAAATAGACTTTGGGGCCAGGGTGTGGCACCCCATCAGACTCGACCAGAAAACATTCCACAAGGTCAGCAAACAGACCTGGAACTATTTACAGGCTTTTCTCTTTTTGTTGTTATTGTTTTGTTTTGCTGTTATTTTCGTGCTTACCATTGTCTCCACATGTCTATCTAGATAAGATTGGCAGAATAAACAATCTGGAGGAGAAAATAATGGGACCGACAGTCAGGTTGGGGGCAGGGGGCAGATGGGAGAGAGGACACAGGAGAAGGGGAGGGAGGGGAAACAAAGTGGGTGTTAACAAATCAGGGACAAGAGAACACCAAGTGATCTAAAACTGATTGCAAGAAGGGTGTAGGAGGCCTGGTAGGGCTTGATCAAGGGCAGTGTAACCAAGAGGAATTCCTGAAACCTGAATGAAGGCCAAACATGATAGTGGGACAAGAAAGTAAAAGGAAAAAGAGGAAAGCATTAGATGGCAAAGGGCATGTATAGAGATATAAACACAGGCATGTACATATGTAAATACATTTATATATAACGATAGGGAAATAGATTTATGAACATATATTTATAATTAAATATTAAGGTAGCAGACGAACACTAGGCCTCTACTCAAGTATTCCCTCAACACAAGAACACTTTGTTCTAATAACCTGGTATTCCGTGATGCTCACCTTCCCGACATGATTGCTGAAGTCAAAATGAGTGCATAAGCCAATGTGGTGAAGAAAGCTGATGGTGCCCGGCTATCAAAAGACATAGCATCTGGGGTCTTAAAGGCTTGAAGATAAACAAGCAGCTATCTAACTGAGAAGCAACAAAGTCCATATGGGAAGCACACCCCTGTGTGATCATGAGGTGTCGATGGGATCAGGAATCCGGCATCAAAGACCCAGAACAAAAAATCATATCAATGTGAATGAGGGGTAGTGTTAAGTGGAGACCCAAAGCCCATCTGCAGACAATTGGACATCCTCTTACAGAAGGGTCACAAGGAAGAGATGAGCCCATCAGGGTGCAGTATAGTATAGTATAGATGAAACATACAACTTTCCTCTAGTTCAGCGGTTCTCAACCCATGGGTCACAACCCCTTTGAGGGTTGAATGATCCTTTCACAGGGGTTGCCCGATTCATAACAGTAGCAAAACTACAGTTATGAAGTAGCAATGAAAATAATTTTATAGTTGGGCGTCACCACACCATGAGGAACTGTATTAAAGGGTCGCGACATTAGGAAGGTTGAGAACCACTGCTCTAGTTCTTTAATGCTCCCCACCCCCTTATCATGACCCCAATTCTACCTTGCAAATCCGGCTAGACCAGAGCATGTACACCGGTACAGATAAGAGCTGGAAACACAGGGAATCCAGGACAGATAAACTCCTCAGGACCAATAATGAGAATAGCAATACCAGGAGGGGGAGGGGAAGGTGGGAGGAGAAAGGGAGAACCGATCACAATCATCTACATATAAACCCCTCCCAAGGGGATGGACAGCAGAAAAGTGGGTGAAGGGAGACATTGTTCAGTGTAAGACATGACAAAATAATAATTTATAAATTATCAA